GAAATCTAATACAAGCCACATTTGATAGAGGTTGATGTTTCACAAATACCAACTACCTCCAATTACAGGAAAATTAGAGTTGAGATGAAAGACATTTAAATTGGTGCTCCCATCCAGGGCAAGCCTGCACAGTGAGCTGGAGAGATACCTGTCCTGCTTGCTGCTGTTTGACCAGTTAGTGCTGGCGTGCTTGCCAAGCTGTCGGCATGGGCAGGGATCAGGGATCAAACACCCCGGCTGCTGCCGGCGGTATCCCAGCACTTGTCAGCAATGTGGGTGGGAGCCGAGTGGGTTACAGGGGAGCAGGTCAGCAGGCATGGCGAGGGAAAACGAGCTGTCACCAGGGTAAGCTCGTGGAAGGTGTGTGGGGTGGGAGCAGAGCTTGGTCTACCTGGAGGCAGGAAGGGAGGTGGTGCAAGAAAATTGCTAAGTAGCAGGGTCAGAAATGCTAAAAGTTGGAATAAAGTATAACCCTGCATGTATTCCACCTCACTTCTGTGACCTGCTTAGGCACTTCAGAAATACTAATGATTCAATGATAGCGTGTCCAAAGAAAGGCGACAGAGCTGGTGAAGGGTCTGGAGAACAAATCCGGTTAGGAGCAGCTGAAGGAACTGGGGTTGTTTAGCCTGGAGAAAAGGAGCATGAGGGGAGACCTTAGCGCACTCTACAACTACCTGCACGGAGGTTGTAGCAAGGTGGGTGTCGGTCTCTTCTCCCACATAACAACCGATAGGAGAAGAAGAAACAGCCTCAAGTTGTGCCAGGGGCAGTTTAGGTTGGGTATTAGGAAAATTTCCTTCTCCAAAGGGGTTGTTGAGCACTGGAAGAGACTGCCCAGGTAGGTGGTTGAGTCACCATCCCTGGAGGTGTTTAAAAGATGTGCAAATCTGGTGCTTAGGGACATGGTTTAGTGGTGGACTTGGCAATGTTGGGTTTATGGTTGGACTCTGATCTTAAGGATCTTTTCCAACCTAAACAATTCTATGATTCTGTGGTTGCAAATGGATGAGAGCGGGAGTCTGATGTTCAGAGTAGCCGTAACTGAGCTCAGAGATTCTCTTAGAGCAGTGATTAAAAAAAAAAAAAAAAAAAAAAAAAAAAAAGCTAGTTGTGGTTTTGTAAGTCCAATTCTAAAGGTATGTAGGAGTTGGATTTGTTGAACTAGAGGTGTAGAAATGAAGCAGCTAATCAAAGGTAAATGTTTTGAGCAAGATAACCAGCAGCATATGGGCAGGGGCCTCCTGATCTCCTTGGCTGCTGCTGTGGGAGCGCAGCAGAGAAAGCGCAGTGCGTGACCCAAATCCTCCGGCGCTCTGTGCGCGCAATGCGGCTCGTTAGCTGAGCCACACAAACATTAATTCCCCTGTGGGCAGACATAATAATAGGGTTATGCAAAACCATTGCGTGTGTCTGTGTACATTCATATTTACGTCTGATTTGTGAACACAGATCTTTCTGGGGTGTCTGTGTGCCAATATGCAAACTGTTGGTTACAGTGGACTGGGTGGGTTACTATAGGACTTTACGTTGTATCCTATCTTTGTAATTGCCTCAGTTGCTTCTTACCCATTTTCTTCCTTTAACTGCTCCTAATTTTCAAGTTACTTTAGAACTGCTAATTTTGAAGGCAACTGGGTGCAGAAACACTTCCTTCATTCTTGCCAAATGGGAACCATCTTGTCCAAAACCCCCTCCTCAATGCACGCTGAGCCTCTGCGAGTATTAGAGACCTTCAAAGAGAATGAGGCTTAATCAGGAGGATGCTGACACAAGGTGAATTTCCAACACGCAGGAATGTTTGCTACTGCTTTTGTGAAGTACAAAGATCTCAGCTGTCAATGCAAAAGCATTTTTAGATTTAAGAAATGTAAATTTAGATTTTTAGGAATTAAGCTATTTTTATAGGAAATCCTTTCCAATCTCATGCCTAGTGGCCTCCAAGTCCTCAATGCTCCCTTTTGTGTACTATACATTGATAGTTATCTCCTAGTCCTGGACGGAATCATGGAAGCTAAAGCACTTGCTCTTGTAGCAGGATGAGCCAATAAGAAACTAAGATTTAAAATGACAGTGCCTGTCAAAATTTAGTAATATTTTTCAGCATATATAGTGTATTTGAGAGTTTATGTACTCCTGGAGCAGTTTCAGTGAATGTATGGTAATTATCATTAAAAATTCTGGTAATTCCATATATAAAGTACTTGCATCTGAGCTGTATATCTACATATATGTATCATTACAATTTTCAGTTCAAAAATATATACATTTTTGGATAGATTGGAATATGCTGGAGCAATGCAAGGTTTACAGTTTAATAGTATTTTCCTTCTAGTATTAATTTAAAACATGCAGAAATGGTTGCTACAGCTTAGACCATGCAGTCGTTTCCCCGGTATCCCGTAAGGAGCGTGGAGGAGGGATGCCTTTAGAGCGAACTGTACAGCCTCAAACAGTTTTGCCCTGACTGTACAGCACTGGGCAAGCAGGGAGGGTCTGCGGGGGAAAAGCTTCATTTCGGTGCTTCTTAACTCTTGAAAGCCTAACTTCAGATTTCTTCTGAGTGTAGTTCCCGTGATTTATCGCTCCCGTGGATGGCGTGCCCTTCGGCCGTGGGGAGAGCATCACGCGGAATGAAACCGCACTGTTAGTCCGACCCTCGGGGAAGACTTGTGAAATGTCTTTCAACAGATGCGTGCGGGTCTTTATTTGGCCTCCTTCGCTTTCCCACTCCCCCTGGTGACTGTGGGACCGGTGGGTTTTGGGTGGGCAGGCGGGCGGGGAGCGGTGGCTGAGCCGGGCTTAGCCGCCAGATGGCAATGTCCCCTCGGCTCCCGGCCCGGGCGGCCGCTGCTCGGGTTCCTGTGTCTCTCTTGGTAGAGCTGAAGCTGTTAACAGTGTTTGCTGGAAGGCAGGGTTGCTTCCAGCAATGCCTTATGGAGGGCTGTTAATCAAGCTGATGTCTGTCTGTTGTTTTGATTATCTTCGAGGGTCTTCAGGCTACTGTTTGGTGCTAAAAGTGATCCAGGAGCTGGGCGCTTACTTAAAGAAATTTGTAATGCATGTGTCTGTCTAGCAAGTGTCTGTTCTCTGGATGGATGAAAGCAGATAGGTCTGATCCCAGGCTGCTTCTGTAGGTGGAATTGCAGAATTCAGCAGAGTCAATCTAGGAGATCTAATGCCTAACAACTCCCAAGTGTAAACTTTTTTCCCAAACTTTTTAAATTTCTTTGAAGACAGCACTATCCTGTGCAGTTGCTTTCTCATTTTCCAATAGACTGTCTTGGAAATGGCAGCAGACAGGGACCGATGTGGTTCCCATGGGAAAAGGATGTTGGGAATCATGTCTGCCTGCTTTGAGGCAGCGATCACAGGCAGCTCCCATTACTGGAAGTCACGTAGGAATTAATTACTGACCTCGGGCTTGGTAGCACCATAGCTAAAATCCATCCGATGGTCTGGTCCTATACCCCAGAGCAGAATTGTAAAGAAGGGGTGGGGAGAAGGTGCCTGATAAATAATTGCTCAGGCCGACAGCGCTGTTTCCTTAGCTATTCAGAGTGCTTGTGGTTTGATTCCTCACAGCCATGTTTGTTTCTGCCTGATTCAGCAGTGGAGTAGAAATTATGTTGCTTCATTTCCTTATTATTTATTGCTGGCAGCAAATAGCAATTAAAAAAATCAACAGTGATTGCACTAGAGAAGACAACTAGAAGGAAAAATTCTTGGCAATTACTTGTAATAAGAGGGAAAATTGTGGAAATTCAATGAAAGTATGAAATTCAGAATGAGTGGTGCTGGTTTTTATTACTTAACCTTCTCTGCTCTGTCAGGAGTGAGTAAATTATGCCACACAGAACCTATTTATGCCTGAATTCATCCGTACCCACCACTTTGCATAGAAGGGAGGCCACTTCTTCACAGGCTGTGGCTACTGCATTCAGAGTACCTTGTAATTTAGGGCATGCTTCCTGAAAACCGAGCTCATCTTTCAGGGATCTCCTGAGTCACTTCTGAAAACTCAGAAATTGGTCAACTCCAAAGCTTTTGATGGTGGTGGAAGCCTCATTGACTGCATTTCACCTCTTCTTTCTGTGTGTAAGTGAGGCAGGAGTGAAACTGTGCAACACTGAGGAAAAATGTGGCTTGCTTGGTTCCTTCTTGGTTCCTTTCGGGTTTTTCTTCCTTTTTAAGAAATGTGTCCTTTCTAATCCCTCCCTGCTCTCTCCCCCAGCTTGTAGCCCTTAAAGCAAGTGAGATACAGTAGCGAAGCAGTAATGCTGGTTTGTTTGCTTACATCTGTTGTGGTTTGAGCCCAGAGGGCAACTGGGCACCACACAGCCGCTCACTCCCCCTTTTCCCCCCAGCACTGAGAAAGAGAAAATAAGCAAAGGCTTAGGATCTGAGATAAGGACAGGGAGGGTTGAATCACCCAGTGTGGTCATGGGCAAAAGAGAGACCCATTAGGAGAAGAAAAAAAAGAACATAAATTTAATACACTGACAAGCAGCAACACTTATCCGAGTAAGCTGACTTGGAGCCAGAGGAGCTTTGAGAAGCTTCTTACAGGGGCCACCACTGTAGCACCCTCCTCTGCTTCCACAAACCCCACCACTCACTCAAACCCAGGACATTCTCATTTATGAAAAATACTTGGTTTCTGTTGAACCACACCCTTTGTCCTGACACAGCTGCTCTGACCGTACCCTTCTTGCAAGCCAGCACCATCATTACTCGCTGGGCACTTCCAGCTCCCATTTTATTTGAAGGACCTGAAGATGTGCTGTGAAACCCAAATCATCCTAGCTGTTTTCATCAGAGCTGTTTCTAGTGATGTGTTTTCTTGTGTATATAGCAAGAAGTGAGCTTTTCTGTACACAGGTTACTCAACGGAAGGATTTTTGGTTATAACTTTCCAAGACTTCTATAATTTTTTACAGGTAGAAAGTCAACAGAATAGAAAACCTAACATATATAGGAGGCAAAAAAAATTCTTAATATTTCAGTTAGGCTTTTTTATTTCAATCGTTTAACAAGTGCTTAAACTTCCCCGGCAGTTTAACCTGGAACATAGCTGAGAAGAAAAATATCTTCTATAACTTTACAAAAATAAAAATATTTTTCTAACAAAAATAATCCTGCACTTTAAGCAAGCACACTCCAACTCAAGCAAGACAGACATTATATCTTAAAATACGGACTTCTGTTCAGAGAAGTGACATTCTACCCTAGGGCAGCAGGCACAATATGTAAACGGTATGGAAACAGAGTGAGAACACTTGTTCTGATTTTTTTGATCCCTTTTGTCCTGTTAAATGGAACTTGTTCAAATAATTTACCCAAGAACGTCTTCAGGCTAGCATTTCTTCTGTCAGATGGTTCTGTGAGTAGGATATTACTTAGGGAAAAAACTTTCACCTGTCCTGGCAACATTGGCAGTTACTGAAGATGCCAACATTAATAATTCCTTTTTTTTTAAAGCTTCTGCATTTTGGTATGGGACAGATCACTGTTTGTAGGTCTTCCACTGGTAAAACACTTGCCATTTACCTTCTTTAGCAGCCAGAGCTGCCAGCACATGAGGTCAGGTTGGAGAATTAAAATGGATGGAATATATTTTGTCACAAATGCATACAGTGCTGTGCAGCACTTTAATGTGTGATGAAACCAAAAGATCAGGGAAGCTTAGCTCCTAGTTTTGTGCCTGTAACCAAGGAGAAGCCTTGCAGAGAACATGGATTGGCAAATAAACTATGCACTCTGAAGACTTACATCTTTGCCCAACTTGACTTGTTTTAGCTAATAGAAAAATAAAAAAAAAAGATGTATAGGCACACGGAGGGAAGCTGGTGCAGCATATGCTAAGAACCCAGATCATAGAAATGTTTCTGGTCAACACTACAAATAAAGTATAGGAGTCCCCAGTCAGATTTCTTGTAATGCAATATGAAGGCCTTTTTCAAATACTTCCTTTTTAACTATATGATAGGAAAAAAAAAAAATATAGTTCTTGTCCAGTTTGTACATTGAGTCATGTTTGCATTTAGTGTAACCGTAAGCCTTGGAGAACATAGACCTTTGCAAGTCTGTGATTCAAAACAGTTGAGACATTAATGTGTTTTTAGAGGTAAGAACTAGACAGGTCTTTCTCTTTAAACTGTTGTAATATTTCTGACATTAGTCAATTTACAGAAGAGCCACAGAGCACTAATAAAATGTAGATCATTGCCTTGATGAATATAGAACATTGTGCTGCAGAGCAGTTCCTTTGCTCTCTGCTTCAATCCTGCATCACAAGCATGTGCAGATTTCAGCTGGGACTGACTGAGTCGTGGGTGGCACTTGCACAGGGGACAAACAGGGTCCGACAACTCCTAACAGCCATTGATACTTCTTTAGAGATAGGACCACCTCATGTGGGAATGGTTGATGGTGGTGGAAGAAGCTTGTCCTGTGTGACCTAAGGAACATCATGTCACACCCATCCTCATTATACTAACGTGAATTCACTCATGCCGCTAGGTTTCAAACAGAAGTCAGAAACAAAGCTAATATTTAAGGGACTTACTTGGCTGTAATAGCTCAGTAACTCAGTTGGAGATATGCTGGTGTCAGTCTGCTGAATATAAAACTCAAGTCTAGCTAGAGAAAACCAAACTCCATCCTGGTTCCTAGCTTCTCTTTTGGAGGTGTTGTGTCGCTTTCTTGGCCCTCTAATTAAAACTGCTCCTGATGTCTCCCTAGCAGCAGCTGATGCAGAACTGTCTCTTCAAGTAGGTTTGACTATGTGGAGCAGAAAGCCATCAGGGCTGCTGTTGTTGATAAGGCTTGATTCATCATGGTGGGTTGGCTTTCAGCTCCTTCCAGCAGGCTGAGGAGGATCTGATATCAGATGGATGGATGAACACTTTCTCTGGTGACTACCGAGCCATCCTGAGCTCCATTCCTGACTCTTAATGAGTTTTCCGTGATTTTTCTATTGTCTGAAGAAGAAAATATGAAAGATATGATCTGACCTGGCAGTGAGCCCATGATAGTGTTCCTTCTCCCCTTCCTCCTGCTGTATCAAAACCAGGTGAACCAATTTTGTTCTGACTCAGAGGAAATTCATATCCAAGGCTGATACAAGCTTGGAAAAACTGTCAAGAAGGCACAGACTTTGAGGAGGTAGGGAGCCTGAGCATAGCCATTTGCTGCTCGACTGGCTTTTTCCTGCTGTTTTTTCTACCAAAGCCCATGCTGTTGCTATGTTTCCAAAGGATGCTTTTGCTATAGCAGACAGTATGGAGACTCACCTATGTAAAGCTGAAAGACCTTAATTAAAGACTTGTACTTTGATGTTGAAAATAACACATGAAAGGCTTTTTTCTCATGTAGTCCTGGACTGGACAGCTAGAAGCTGCTGATCCTGATGAAGAAACACTATGACCTTACGCCTTACGCTTCTTACACAGGTTCCTGCTCTTCCTGTGAGCCAAAATACATGTGTATATCAGTAAAAGCCACAGTCCAAATGCCACAAGGTCAAGTCATGCCCTCAGCTCGCTTCCCATTAAAGCAGGGGAGCATCTGCGTACCTCCTTGCTGGCCTTGAATATCTCCCCTACTACCTCCAGAGTCTGCTATGCTTCACATTAGCGCACACAAGGATGTATTTGCCACTGGGGGAAACCCGAGGTTTTCCAGGGCAGACTCTTGTTGAAGAATGCTCTCTGAGGGCCGGATAGCCACCTTCCCAGCAGTGTCTCCCCAAACCAATGCTGATTTCAGCTCTGTGAAACCGTGGTTTGTGTTGGGACAGTCCAGCAAGGAGAAAAGGGGTGGCTGCATTTGCGCAACTCTTGCTCGTCCCTCGGTTAAGACTGGGCCGGTCTCCCTCCATCAGATGGTCATGCATCTGTTTCCAGCTGCTTTCGTGCTCTACTAGGGGACAGGGTGTGCTTGCTGCTGAAACCCCTTACTTGTTCCTGTATGAGGTCACATCGCTAAAAATATGCTGCTAAATAGGGCTGCGAAACATGTTAGACCCCACTTGCTTCTTTACTTCAGCCACCTGGCTGACAAAATCCAAGGCACAAATACTGCACACGAAGTATGTAAGGCCTCGGGCATATGAACAGAAGTCGTCCCTGCAGCCTTGTATCGGCAGCTTACCTGCACGGTGTGCATCCAACGGAAAAAATACTGTTTCTGTCTGGTTTTAAGGGGGTTTGGTTGTAACTACTCGCTAGATACAAAGGGAGGCCTCAACGCTTACATAGCTAAGGAAGTTGAAGGAGAAAATATTAAACCACTGATTATTTTTACAACTTAATGATTGTAAAAATAGCTTAAATTACTTAGAATTTTTTTTTAGTTAGAGGTATCAACCATTTAGCACTGTCTGAATGGAGGGCTGTTGATTTGCTGTTTCTTTTTGTGTTACAAGCTGTGAGATAATGATAGGATAAATCTTTGTGGGTTTCCTCCTTATATGCATATCTACATCAGAGCTGTGATAGTCAGAGGGGGAAGCTGCAATCACAGTACTGGCACAACACCCGAGCCCTTCCCCAGAGCTAAATTCTGATGAGAAACCTGGTGTTGGGGAGAAGAGTACCACAATGGTAAGATGGCAGAGACGACTGTAGCAGGATCATAATGTTCACCCCAGCAGTTAAAAAAAAAATAATAAAAGGAGACCCCTCCCTCCCCCCAAAAGTCTGCAGTCCTAAAGTGCAATTACTTCTGTGCAGTCATGTCAGGCCAGGGATCAGACTGGATGAAGTTCAAAGCACAAACATCAAACGAGTGCCGTTCGGGATTCGAGGAGGAGGGGGGAAGTAAGGAAAAGAACAACAGTTCTCAGGCATTCAAGTGCATCAAGAAAATAAATGTCCCTTTCTTTCAGAAGAAAAACAACCCCCAGTCTGGTAGAATCCTGGCTTTGTAGTCATGAAAAATAAGTTTTTTTCACTTCTAGCTGAAAATGTCCCAATATGACACAGTACAAATAAACAACACCAAAGCAAGAGCTGGGGCACTGGGATATTTTTCCGCTGCCCTGCTGCTATACAGCCTTATTTTATTCTCCTCTGGTGACTCTTCAGGTCTGGGTACTGATGAAGCACACTGAATTAAAGGCATCTGGTAGGAAGTGGCTCTCTTCTCCGGTCGGTCGGGGCTGGACCCGTCGCTCGGTCTCTGGCCGTTGTACAGCAAGTACCTGCCCCGGGCGTCCTGCTCCATTTTGAAGATTTCGTACTCAGTGTGAGGTAGGCGGATGCCGAGCGCGATGCAGCCGTTTGTGTGGGTGACGTCTTGCTGAACCCCAACTTGCCAGGACCCCTGTGCTCCGCACTCGTTCCCGTTGAAGACGTTGAGCAGAGAGGCTGTGGATATATCCATGGGAGTGACCTTCATGTGATTTACTGCGGGAGAGGAAGAGAGGAGCTGTCAGCAGAGGGGCGAAAACAAAAGCACAGACAACATGTGGGTTGGGGTGTACCTGTCAAATCAGAATTGTCTCTGCTTGTTCATTCTTAAAGCAATTTTTCATATTGCAGGTGTGGCCAGCGAATCTATTCGCATCATTTTACATCTTTAATGTAATTTCTTCTTGCACAGAACACACACACGCACACAAACTCAGTTGAAGAAAACCTGATGGCCACATATCTCAGCCAGAGATTAAGCAGAGCTTTTCATAAACTCTAGACAATCCTTTGGAGATAGGTAAAAGAGGAAACAGTAAAACTTGACTCATGTTTTATTACCGTCTATATTAATCTGTAAGTAGGGCTGCTTATAATGTATTTTTCATAATTCTTTAACATCTGTTACCGTGTAAAGCTAATGAAATAATTAGTTCCAATTGGAAAATTTGGAAAGCACCACAGCTGTGCTATCTTCCTGTATTATCTGTCCTTTTTTGCATGAATTATAAAGTATTGCTGAACTACAGAGAGATACTTTTTCTCATATCTAAACAGTGGCTGCAGCTTGCAGTATCAAATGTTGAAGTGCTGCAGCTTCTGCAGTTCTAACCTGCTTGTAGTTCAGAGGAGCTTAAGGCACATAAAGTTTTATTTTTCAACCAAGTATAAAAAGTTGGGAAAAGCCAAACTGAGCCTATGGAAGCTGAATAGAGATTTTTCCTGGTGTGCATGTGATACTGTATATCAAGAAAAGGGGATCTGAACAGATTGGTGCTGGCCAAAACAGAAGCAAATGACCAGCCCTCATGCCTCCAAAAACACTAAAATCCCAAATTTTCTTGCAGGTCATTTTATAGTAAGATTTGTTGGGACTTTTCTTCTGAAGTTTTATAAACAGATTTTCAACTCAATGGCTCTACAGTTCACATTATCTGTCCTAGGTGGTGTAAAAGGTCATCTATAGAAAGTGAACCTAAAAGTTTTAGCAAAAACAAATTAGTGACCTCAGTCTGTGAGGTAAATTGGCATACCATAAACCAGAAATTCAAGCAAAAACTGGATTTCACCCCAGGATCTGAGCTGGGACATGCTGCATGCAGCTGTAAGAGCAAAAGCTCTGATGGGCAAGCGTATCTCCTGGTTCCTATGAAAATCTCAGATTAGTAATTTATTTCTCATAGTTAGATGCTTTCCTAAATTGGAGCCATGCAAGAAGCTTTATGCTTCTCACATGGTAACTGAAATAAGGAGGAGAAGAGCCCACAGAGTGCTTGGGGCTTCCAGAGGCTCCACTGGGGCTGGCGCCATGGTGGGACGTTGTGTTTTGGAGATGTTTGTTTGTGTGAGTGGTTAAAGCCACTGAGCTCTTTCTAAGCAGGGTGCTTCGGGGCTGTTTGCACAGGAAGGCTTCTCAGCCACAGGGATCTGGGTGGCATCAGCACCGAGCGCTGCTTCCCAAAGAACTGGAGGGGTTTTGGTTAGATACATCAAGTCTTCCCTGTGGTGGGATTAATCAGAGCTGTCTTTAGGGACAAGTCCTTACTTGCTCTAGGGCTCCTTGGAAGCTGATGAAAATACACATGCTGCTACATCTGTCTTTGACAAAAAATGATTTGTACCACTTCAGACCTGAAATGCCTTCTGAAGGTGCTTTTTTATCTCTACTGAAGGAGCCCTGGGACACAGATCTAATCTTAGATGCTTTGCTTAGATGCTTGAAGTCTGGCCTCCAAAACTTAGTGATGCAAAATCTTATTTTCTTGTGCTGTACCTAGAGATCTCTGCCCCAAAAGAGTATTGCTTCAGTGGTGTGAAATGCTGTGCAGCTGTATAGTTGGCTGGGCATTCGCACAAAGCCTGTGAACTTCCCAAGAAATTACTTACCCCTGCAAATGACAGAATGAAATCATCAGCCACCAAATCATTATGAGCGAACTCTGCTCTGGTCCATAACTACATGACCACCTCCGCCCCCAGTGTAGGAAGCCACTCTACCTTTGAACACAAACTCCGTGCCACCCATCACTTTGGATGAGTGCACTCCCCGGCTGTAGCGTCCCTTGGCGTAGATGGTGAAGGTAGGGTGCTTGCAGATGGGGTCGGAGTAGTGGTAGTAGTGACCTTCCCAGGTGTTGTTGTTGTCGTGGAAGATGAAGTGCCGAGTGAGGAAGAGGACCTCCGGTCTCACCTCGCAGCGCTGGCTCACCCACTCTCCATGTAGCCCTATGGTCAGATCTGCCTTGGGGGGTAAGATGGGAGGGTGGTGCTCGTCTGACCGGTAGATGATTCTGCACGCGATGCAAGTGTGGTCATGGTTCTGAAACAAAGCAGAGAGAAACCTTTGTTAAGCATCACCCGCAATACAGAGCAATGAATCAGGCCATCTGTTTCATGCTGAAGTGACACCGGCACCACATTTTAAGGAATATGTTGTCATTTCTTATCTTGCTAGTGTTCTGCTGCAGGTTCTCGCCCTTCAAAGCACCTGAAACATGCACCATTTGGTTTTGTACGTATAAGGCTGCACAGCAGGAGAACAATTAAGAGATTAACTCCCTCGTCTGCATTTATCTGAAATTAATTTTAGTTCAGCTTTTTATAGGATCTAGAAAAGGCTGACTTTATCCTTCAAATCATATGAGAAGCTGGCAGATGGTAGTTTACTATGGTAGGGACTTGGCAACTCTTGTGTTAGAAATTAATACATTTGCTGAGCTCTTACTTTGCATGTCTTCCTTTTAGTTGTTAACTTTGGGTACTGTTAATAGACACAGATGTCCTAAGGACATTTTTCATTTTAGGTGGCAGCCTGGGAGAACAGTAACTAGTAATTTTATTTTTTTTTTTTTTTTCTGAGCCCTAACATAAGCTTGTGAAGCATACAACTTGGCTGGCTGCCGTCAGACATGGTGAAAGGTTTTTGGCCCTCTCTGGCAGGAATGGGGTGCGCGATGCCTGCCGGGCTTCACGGCAGCTCACTGCTGTGGGGCAAGCACCAGCCTTGAGCAGCTGGGTACCCCCAGCCCCATCCGTGGGCTCCAGGGATCTCTTACAAGGGGTGTGCAGGCTCTGAGTCTCTGGCAGGAGGGGAGGGAATTTCATGCTGACATCACCTGACACCTGACATCAGAAAATAAAACTAGAGACTCGTGCATTGCTCCTAAGCCTGTTTCCACTCTGCAAGGTTTTGTCTTGTTGGCAAAAGAGTTTGGCCTAGCTATTCTCTCTTCAAACTGTATGTTGCACTTTTTCAATGGCAAGAGAGACAGCAGCATTAGCATTTTTCTCTGCTCTGCTAAACCTTGAAGTAAATTTTATGGACAACAAAGGATTACAAAACTAATTTTTAAACTCACTTCATTTATGACAAATTATTAGATCAAGAAGAATAAATGCATGACACCCCGCAAGATAAAAGCAGTGCATTCTGTTTTACTAGTGCCTGTTTTGGGTTGGCAATGTGCTGTTTGTTTACATCTCGGGACCTGATGGTAGAGGCTTTCTAGTCAGCTGGTGATGTGTGGAGGGATAGCGCTCTGAGCAAAGACCACACAGACAGCTTGTGCCTTCATCTTTCAAGGACACTACTTGATCCTTCCTGGAGGGAGAGGAATGCACTGGTGGGGGTTACTCACATCCACCTTGTTCAAGCTGCAAGGTGTTTTCATGAGGTACAATTCAGCGTGCACTGAGTTAAGAGCTGAAACAGCCACTGGGGAGAGAGATTTATACAAAACCTTTTTCCTTTTGTCCTCTTTTTCCAGCCCTCTTTTCTGAGATCTCTCTCAGCTTCCTCCATAATGTAAGTGCTCATATTCATTGCTTGTACTTTAAAGTTCACATGAGCTGCTATCGAGTCAGCATTTCTCTGCTCACTGCCTTCAATTCATGGCACACTTTAGGGGTGACATTTACACAACTTTCATTACTGCCCTGAGTTTTTCCAATAATATGACCATGAGTAGCCTCACAGAATCAAATACAACTCCCACAATATATCCCTTTTGTACATATTAAACACAGTTTATATTTGCCCCCACCTCAGACCAGATAGACACCAAAAGACAGTGAAATCATTGAAAAGTCTGCTGTTCTACATGCCTAGGATGTAGAATAATGGTCTATGTGCAAAATAACTCCAAATGATGTAGCTCAGATTGATCTGAACCTGTGCTGGCCAACAGTCATGCTCTGAGGAGGAAGGAGGTTGGACTTGGTGACCTTCAGAGGGTCTTTCCAAAACACATGGTCTTCTGGGAACTACATGTCAGCATGTTATTAAAATGTTCTTTCCCACTGTGAAGCTTGTTAACTAATTTTAAGATATATTTTTCAGCTAAATTCTGCAAGCAGGTGCAAGGACCATTAGTATCTTAGTGAAAATAGAAAGAATATTTAATTGAGTAATTTAAGTGCAACTGGTGAAGTTAGCACAGATTTGTGCCATAGTAACTGACAGCAGAGGCTGGTGCAAAACATCTGGTTCTCCTGAACACTGAAATCACAGATAACTCATAAGGACTGTGAAACTGAGCTGTTTTCTGAGATTGCAATTTCCAGTTTGGATTTTCTGATAGTCAAGAGCAGAACCAAGATCCAGTTACATTTTGTATTTTGCTGTAGAATTCTTGTGTGACCTTCCTCATTTCATAGAAACAGAGACAATTACAGCTCTTCCTTTTGGGGCAGGGCTGGTAGGAGGCTAAATAAGAACACTGAGTTGTCAGAAAGCAGACAGAAAATTCAGGGGCCTGGATCAGTACTTGGAAATGTCACCATGTTTCATCTGAAAGCTTGTTTGGGACTTACGAACCTTGAATCTGTAGCTCTCTTCAGAGGACGTCAGTGTTTTTCTCCAGAAAGCAGTCTGGTTTACTGGGCGGTTTGCGGCTCAGGATTGCTGGGGGGCAGATGACTTAGAAATTACTAGGAAATGAGTTGGTGCTGGGGAAAGGTGTGGACTGCCTTGGCACATCTCGGGCAGCAGCAGAGCCGCCCTGTTTCCCTTGAGCTCCAGCCGTGAATAGGGATGCCACAAGCTGAGCATCTGCCCCATCCAAGGCAGGGCTGCTGGTGCTGCAAGAAAACTGTCGGATGAGGTGTGCAATTCTGTTCACTGCCAACCAAAGCACCGAGAAAACACACATTTTTGAAGTGTAACGCTTTTTCTTCTTGGAGATCAACATCCAAAAGATGCTGCTGCTGCGTTGCACAGACACTCGCAGTGATGCAGGCGGAGGGGTTGCTCTGTGGAAGACACCAGTGTCTATCAAGCACTTGTTTCTCCAGCGTGGCTGTCCCGCCGTGGGGCAGACTGCCGCCAGTTCTCCCTAACACTTTAAAGGCTATTAAACTGCACCGATGACAGTAACTTTATTGCTGTGATTGCCCCATTCACATAAAGTGAAGCAAGAAAGCAAGGAAAAGACAGTGTTATAAAACTAAACATAGCTTATATGAGCTGAATTGGTCAATAATAGAAGACAATTTCTGCAGACCAGGTCTATCTGTAGGAGACAATTCCTTCTCTATTGAAGTTGAAAACTCGTATCATTTCCCAGAGGAGACCCTGGCAGTGCAGTATGGTAGTTTGGTTTATATTCACATTTCCCTCTCAGGAACCTGTCCTCCACAGCCAGTTTATGAGCCAAGGCAATTTAACCTGGGAACCAGTGGTTTCTGTTGTCCTTGTTGAAAATCTGAAGAAAACTAAATGGAAACCCAGCCTGTTGTCTTCTTGGCCACCCTTGGCTGTTTGTGGGATTTCTCTGTTGTTTCTCAGGTCTAGTGGATGGACAAGAAGGAGATCTGTAATCATCCTATTTGCAGCAACATTATTTTTTGACCAGGAAGGACTATCAAGCATAAATGCTCTTTTTGCTGTTCCTTCTACCAGTGATTTAATGTTTCATCTCTACGACATTAAAAAACATGGGTATTTCAAGTCAAGGCTCTGATGCTGGGCAGGGGCTATTATAGTTTGGTGTCTTCTTCATCATACTGGGAGTGTAGAAGGTGCAGACCGGTAACACCTGCTGCTTAGTCCCTTGGCTGTGGCCAGCAGTAGAGTGTGCAGAAGAAGGTCCATGGAGCTCCATGTTGGAAAAAATTTCATAACTACAAGTAGCACCTTTCTCCTTATCAGGGGTGGGTTCATGTCTTGAGGCATAAGGAGGAGTTACTTTCCAAAACTTATAAGACTCATGCAGTGGAACTATGCTGGCTACCATTACACTGAGTGGAGGTGAGTCCTTGGGCAAACTTAAGGAAGGCCCAGGTTAACTCACTGCGAAACTTCACTTCGATTTCTGTGGGTTGTCTGTAGCTCCACCTGGCTCTTTGACCTCTGTGGTCCTGAACTACTGTAACTCTGTGGAGTCCGTCTAATTCTGAAGGCTTTGCACCAGCTCTGAAGGTCTGGCCAGCTGCACTGCTAAGAAACATCCAGCCTGGCTGCCTTCTAGTTACTGATGATGTGCCTGGATGTAGGGGCTGAGGTGAATGGGCACTTTTTGCAGTGAAGAGGGAGTGGGACAGGGAGAGGTTGGGGCAGTGAGGAGGGAAGCAGAAGTATCCCTTGCACAGCAGTGAGACGTCAGGCTGGGTCAGGCACCTCATATGTCCGTACCCTGAACGCATCGCTTCACTGAGACCAGCTCTTGAATCTTAGCCCTCATAAACCCTTTTTTTTTCCTGTGATACTATCTTTCACAGAGTTATGAACTTCTTAGTGGAAGAATATGCCACATGTAAACTCCCTCAGTATGATTTTTGTCCAAGTAATGGACGAGGGAAAGATCTAGTTTTGTTATGAGGCAATTTGACTTAATTATGAAGTAGTTTATGTTTAACAATTGACTGTATTTTTCACTGTTGCTTTTTTAGGTCAGCTGCTCTTGGCTCTTAATTACACTAGCTGAGGCCTTGCAAATCACTCTGTTTCCATGTGTCTTGGCGAGAGATTATTTTCTAAAAACAGACATTCAAAGAAATAGGGAACAGAGGCAGAGGACATTCGAGCCCAAACACAATTAAGTACTCTCTAATAAAAAGCTCATTTAGTCATGACATAAACCAAAAAGCCATAAAATGAGCAGTGAACAGGATGAACACCTGTTCTATGTTTTGGGTATCTTAGGTGTACGATGCAATAATTTCAATAGTGGGGTCTTGCTACAAGAACCAGTCCCTGAAATGGCTGTTGCCCAATGACTGGAAGACCCCTTCCCATGAAGGATGCCTCCTTGCAGCTCTGCAATGCCAAATCCTTGGTGCCCCAACTCTTTGCACTCCCGGGTTTTTCTTTAAAGCCAATTT